CTCTCTGCAGAATTTACTTTCCATATATCATCAGGACTCTAGGGAGGGAGAAGAGGGGAGAGAGGAGAGATGGGTGTCTAAACCACCGAATATTTCCTTGCAATAAATAAATAAATAAATAGGCATCTATTTATTTTAATATTTTTTCCTAGGCACTGAAGAGGACTTAAGATACAAAACCCTGATTTGCTGGGGTGTGTGACCCAACTTACTTTGGCTATTTCTTACCTAACTTCTTTTTGTATACAGCTTAAACTCTCCACACTAGGTCATTCAGGTCTTGAGTCACCAGAAAAAAGAAGTCGCTGTTTAAAGCATGGCAGACAACCAAAAGTTCAGACAGCTGCAATGAAGGATTAGTTGTGGGTTTTTCTCACTGCCTTGCTACAAACTGCATCACAGCTCTATGTTCAAACATTATTAAATGGGAATGTTTTCTCTGGCACTGACTACTTCTCCCCACAGTTTAAGTATTGAATTTTTTTAACTGAAGTAGCTTTGGTTTACAGCTCACATTAGAACTTAAAAACATATTTCCATAGTAGCTGGCATATGCAGGCAACTGTTTATTCTCAGTACCAGCCATAATAAACACTTGTACTTTTATAATCCAACAAATCTTTGTCTAATCACAACTCCTTTTTCAAAGCTGTAACATTTGCATGCTGGCTGAACCATTTTTCACGAAGGCTCTCTAGAAATGGAAAGATTTCCCGTGTCTTCTGTCATTATCCATACAGACCAACAATTCACTCGAACGGACGCGCAGACACACGGTGGACACTGGTTGCAACCGTGTATTGAGAAGCAGCTTTGTAGTGCAGGACACACTACAGGATTTTCAGAGGAATAGCTTGTCTTGAGGAGACCCACCTTTAGCTCTACCTCCAACTTATTCTGGGAAGTATGAAGAAACAGCACCTCCTTGGTCGGAGGGGCTCTCCAGGTGAATTGGGAACAGCATCCGACTGACTTTTGGGTTTACATTTGAGCATTCCAAAGCAGCAAAGCTCTGGAAAACGGAGCGATTTGAGTTTACTTTCGGCTCATGCCTTGTCAACAGAAATAACGAAGGTCTGCTTGCAGAATCGCTGCGGTGAATGGAAGGGCCCAGCAGGACATTTGAATTCCTGTTGAATTTGCCAGAAGTGAGCGTTCTAAAAGTATTTGGTTTTCGTAGCTGACTTTAATGGCTACCGGAATCGCTGAGACACAGAGTATGGAGCCTGCGATGCTGTTGTATGGGAACAGAATCAAACTTTGATGAGAAAAATCGCTGCCACCCTTCTTCCTTTTTCAATGAATATTGCGATTTCTGACGATGAATTAGCAAGAAGCTGGCAGTATGTGAAGAATTACTGTCAGTAAGAGCAGGCATTGATTTGAAAAAGATGACATGCTTAGCACAATCTGTCAGACACACTGATTTCCAACCTGTGAATCTCGTCCCTTGCCCAAGCTTTGGTTCTTATGTGAGGATTGTCCCGACAGCCAGCACACGTGTTTTTCACGTAACTAAATACCCACGTCAGTGCGCCGGCATTTGTGACTCAGTCTAATCTTCAGCTTTAAGCAGTTCCAGTCACGCAGGAGCCCATCCAACAAGAGATCAAGCACAGGACTCACGTCATGTGCAGACCCTCGTGCTCGCCATCTGCCAGAAGATGGACTTCACCCACCGTTCACTTGTAAGTGGTGACTGAACGACACGCTCCCAAGTATTGCAGACTTGCTTGTGGGCAGCAACGGAGGATTAGAGGCCAACAGCAGCTACCCAGGTAGCCAGCTTTGTTACTAGAAATGTGAGCAACAATTAAAAAGCGTAATTGTATGGCTCTACAACAAGCAACGCTACCACCGAGGTCAATACGCATTTCATCTCCAGGGTCAGCCTAGGGTCAGCAGACACACGGTACCGATGCTGCATTCAAGTCAGTCACACAAACACGCTGGCTCCAATGAAATGACGCTTCCCTGAGCATCAGCGTCATACTGTAAGCCCTGTAAAAAAAAAAAGAAATGGAGACGAAATCTAAGTAGCCCATCGAGTTAGGCCGAACCTGCTAACATCTGAGCCAGACAACTCACACCTGCAAGAATTTGGGGTGGCAGAAGGAAGGCAAGAACCATATTCCTGCAGCCTCCCAAGAAGAGCTGGCAGGATCAGAGAAGTGGAAGAAAAGACACTAATTTATTGCAGTCACATGTAACTGTTGGCATTCAACAATAGCAGCAGCAAAAGAAAAATCAGTTAAAAGAACCTGAGAATGCTGAAAAAAGCCACAATAAATACTGAAGAACTGGAAGAGGAGCTATTTCTCATTAGAAAAGAACAAGAGTTTGAGAACTACTTGTACTTAAGATTGAACTGGCTTGGGATCATATGTAGTGGAAATCAAGAAAGCCAGAAAAAATCCACAGACACTTGAACAAAATAAAAAAGGGATCACAGTGCCATTTCAGGAGGCCACAAGAGTATTGGGTGCCTCCTCACGTTATGTGGAACAGTAAAGGACATAGCACTTAATGTAGGCTTAAGGAAAATAAATCACTGGCTAATGGACATCTTAGTAAATCACAAAATCCCCACCTGAGGAGGCACAAGGGCAGGGGGCTTTAGCTCTGAGACTGAGAGCTGAGGAAATGACTGAACATGGAAAGAGATCAGCTAAGGAAGCCTTAAGGACAGAATCGAGTTTACCGGAAAATTGATAATCCCCAAGAGACTTGCAATGGTTGAATAACTGATGAAGAAAAATCAGGGTTCGTAGGTGCTGAATGCATCCCCAGCGTAACTCACTGAAGTCAAACGAAACAGGTTAACTCTGGTGCTCAGTGTTTGACTGGTGGAATGAAAATACTACAGTACTTTAGCACATAATTTGTTCTTTAAAAAAGATGACAGCAATCTCCGCCAGTTAGTGTGGCAGAGGGGATGGGAGTTCTTTAACTGGAAAGAAATAATTCTGGGTGGCAAACCAGAGACCCTGGGACTGATTTTGTGTCGTCTCATACCTACCTACAGCAGTTTACGCTACTTGCTTCACCGACAGGGAAAAGCAGATTAGAAGCTTCATGCTTACTTCTTGTTTCCACGCCAGACGTGAAGATGTGGAAAACCTCAGGTCCAGGAACTTGAGTTAGAGGCACCTCTCTTGGAAGTCTTCAGGAAGTGCTGTAAAGCAAAGGTGATGTAGATGGACACATCCAGCCCCAACCAGCTCCATGCCCTTTAAAGGCAGGATTTCTGGATTGGAAGGCCAGAGTATCAAAGATGACGTTATTTCGCCGTATGATCTTGGCATCAATGGTTGCATTCCTGAGGAGAAATCAGGAGGCCTCCAGGTCAGAAGAGGCCCCCAGAGCAGTCACCTCCCCCTTGAGCACACACACTCCTCCACCAAACGAGGGACAAACCGGAGAAGCTACCCCAGCTGCGTACTGTAATACCTGTATGTCACGGGGAAGGAAGCGATGATTTACAATCCACTGCGGCTACGTTTTAAAAGCAAAGTTAAGTTCTTACATAAAATGACAATAAATGGAGTGCTGATATTGCATGGAACAAAAAGAACAGGGAAATCTGATCTCCCCCTCTGAGAATAAAACAGTCTGCCCACCGACACCAGCGGATTAGTTGTGACCAGCATTAAAGAAGCTAAAAAAACCCCCAATCCATTCTTCCAAACAGCTTTCACACACCACTTGAAACATTTTAAAATGTTTCATTGCTCACAGGCCAGAGAACACTTAAACCTGACCCGCTGGATTCCCCTTCTTACCCTCTGTAGACCCTCCGTGATGCAGACACCATCCTCCTACAGCGCAGAGAAGCTACAGCAGCCACAAGGCAGCACGGTCGTGCCCATCACGTTCCGCCTTTTTAAAAAACTAAAGCAGATTTTGGTTTTGCAACTCACTTCCATCCAGCCGAACCCGGGGTCAGTCGTAAGGGCACTGAATGCTCTTGTCTCCCCTGGATGTAAGCGGGATGAAACCACTTGCACGACTTGATCCTTGAAAATGAAAGGGGAAAGCAAAGGAGGAAATCCTGGATCCTCCTCTGAGGTCAATGGGTATCTGTCTGCAGTAGCCTTGTGCACTAATTCACTACTCATCTCTAAGACAGCATTTTTTGGGCCTTCAAAGTATTTCTGTATTGGACTCTGCCATATAGTTAATAAAAATGTCAGGAATTCACATGCAAATATTTTTCACCATTCCACTTAAAAACTGCCTCAGTCTCCACCCGTACCTCTGGATGAAAACTACGCAGAGAGTCCCACCAGACTGAAAAAACCATGCCAACTGCCTTCTGCAGAAGAGAACACTAAATATATCACCCATGATTACGTTACACAAGATTGGCCCCTCCTCCCACAGGAACCACAAGTTGTTTCAACAGAAAGAGTTAGGAATTGGTAGGAAGAAAGAATTCTTTATTATTCAGTTCTAAGTGACTTCAGTTCCACATCATGGAATTTAATTTCATTTTTAAGGAAGACCAACACTGCTTACGGAATTCTTTAAGCAATTTTTACAAATCACTACTTGGGCTTTGTTAATCATCTTATTTCAGCTATTTAAATGTATCTTAACATCCCTCAGGTGCACTGGGATTCAGGATCACTTTATTTATCATCACAGAAAAAGACATATATAAATAATACAATACATAGCTCAAAGTCTAGAGAAACTCTTATGCCTTCCGTGGTTCACAACCTGACAAAAGTCCTTTGGGATTTAGCTGTACTGTTGTAATTTAGCAGAACAGCCCTGAAATGAGGAACCTTACTATTAGCCCAGCAAATACAGTCTGTTTCGTCGTGGTGGTGTAAAGGAAGGGAAACTCAAGAGGAAAGCCCACATGCACCCATTCTGTAAATGCAGAGTGAGAAGCCACGCTCACGGAAGAGTCAGCGCAGCCTGGAAGCGATCTTTCAGAAGGGGATCTTGTGACATGGAGGTGGAGCTGAAAGGACCAGCTCCTCCTTGGAAGGTGGAGCTGAAAGGACCGGCTTTGAGGTATATCTAACTGGAACTACAGGTGACCAAAAACAATAGTAAGGAGCAATGGGGAGTCTTCACTTTTGTAAAATACTTTGCGGTGATTTCAGCCATCAGGACTCCTTCTTGTCCTCTACTTCTAACAGCTCATCAAGGAATTCCACAACTTCACCCTAGAAAGGATTAAATTGAACAGAAACAAGTTAACCCTGTACTGCAAAATCAATGGAAAATTTTAACCATGACAATCAAAACATAAGCTGTAATTAGGTGCCTAAATATTTTTAACACCCTTCATGCAGAAGCTAGCACAACAACCCTATAAAATGCAAGTAAACGGCCCATACAGGGATAGCACAAGGACCTGCACTGACACGCAGACCTTAAAATAAGGAAATGTTACACTTCACAGGAAATCCTCTTGTACTTTTTCAGATATTTACATAGACAATGAAATCCTCAAACTTAGAAAGTAGAGGCACAAATGTTTTACAGGCACCTGTTAAATTAGGAAATTGTTAAAATACCATAAAACACTAAAGAATTTTAGACAGCTTCAAAATGCAAAGCGAAAAGTGTTTTGTAGAACCCTCACTTTGACTTTGCATCTGTCTACCCTATGTCCTCTGCTACAGCCTCCAACACACACCTTCCCCATTTTCAGCCACAGATCTCCACACGCCATGCTTCAATAAAGCAAAAAACATAAAGAACCAGAGATACTAGAATGTTTTTCAAACAGGAAACAAATACATTCGGGTTAGATTCAGACCGGAAAATACTGTGTTTACAAGCTCCACTCTGCTAACAGAGGGTACCCACACAACGTAACAATCCACCTTTCTATATTTAAACTACTCCTGATGTAGTCATGTGTCACACACCGTACTCAAATGTCTTCCTGCAGTCAAGCCCGACTGCTTTGGGATGACACAGTCCCACCAGCAGCAGAAAATATTCTGCTGGAAAATCTGGTCAGCTCTTACTCACTCTCATGTTTAAAATAATGAGAATTTATGGCAATTATATTGAAACCAAGTTATCCTTCCTTGGATGCTCATTCTCCCTCTTCCTTTCACCCCCCCACCCCATTCCAAGTCTTTGTGAACTGTATTAGGCTTCAGAGTCTGCTCGATGCAGACTGCAAACAGTATTTTACAATCCTAATTAAATTTTAAGCAAATTTTTGTCTAGAAAGGTATTCCTCAGGAAGACAGCACCTTCCAGGCACACGCAGTTTGAGACTCAGAATTTTAAAGTTTTCTGTTCTGGTGAGGAAAGGGCATTAAAAACTCTGCTAGTGAAAATAGTAAGAGGATATCGAGAATTATTTGTCTGTTTTGAATACAACAATCGTATTATGGAGATGGTGTTTAAAAATATTAACATCACATTTTTCAGAAGTGTGATTAGCACGGAGAGAAATAATGAGAACCAAGCAAACAAAAGTGGGAGGAAAGCTGGCTGAAAGAACTGCTGCTCTTGTTCCCCACTTCACAGCTCCATCTTAAAAGACGGTCGAGTTTTTGCAACTATGAAGTGGTTTTAGCAAGTCCTGAAGGATGGCAATGTATTTTGCTTTGATTTTGTTCAAAACATCTAAGCATCCAATTCAATAAAAACAAAAGAAAAGATGCCAGCACTTTCATATTCCTTACTTGTCCTCCTGGTTGCAGGAAATCTGGCAAACGGAAAACAGGAATTCGACGTTTCTGCACGTTTTCCTTTGTTAGAAATATTTTGATTGCCTAAGGAGCCCAGTTGTGGGAGGAACTCAATACCACTTCACACATGCAGACAAAGAAAATAGCCACTAGGTCCAAGAGGCGCTGGCACGCAGTTGAGACTAACAGAAACCGAGGCACGGAGGGCTTCAGGTCAAGTTTTAGAGCACAGCTCCTAAACCTGTGGGCACAGGCACCTGGGTGCCTCTTGAAAGACTACAGACAGGCAGGTCCCAGTAACTCTGAACAGAGTTAGGGGACTGGGAATACAGGCATCTACTACAGGGGACACAGATCCAATGCTAATTCTAATTTTTTACACCTCAGGATTATAGTTTAAGGAAAGAATAACAGATATTAAAAAGGATTTCTCTCTTTGGTCTACCTGCAAAGACAACCCTCAAAAGGTAAGAGTCTGAGAGGTATGGTGAAAGGGATAAGCATCTATTCTATGATCTGGCTGGATGACCCAGAATGAAGTATAAGGAAGACACGGGGATTCCAATATTGTTCCTTTCGTAATTCAACCGTATGGGAACTTAATTTAATTAATATTATTGAATTATGAGCATATAAGTCATGCTCATCAGTAAGATAGGATGTTTCAGAAGACAAGGAAGATCCATATAGAATTAATTTTTTTTCCTCTGATATGTTTTAAAACCCAGAAACACCCAAGAAGCCCGAATTTTAAATGGAGAAGGATATTTAAAAGCAACAGTATTTGAAAAAACATTTGATTGAAATCTGAAATTTCCAGTGCCTGAAATTGATCTCTAAAGGAACATATGATGGAAGCTTTTGTGGGTTTATGAGAAGAACTGGGGAGTAAGAGGGGCTGAATTATGGCAAAAATATAAGAACAGTTGCTGAAACAATACAGATACAGAAAATATGCTGTAATGCAATTGAGTAATTGCCTGGATGTTGGTTATTTTTGAAAAGGCAAAAATACTGGATTACAGTTAAGGGCAAACAAAACCTGTAGTTAAAATATTTGTGTCTGCACCTTCATGGTCAGAATGTAAGAACGTAAATGTAAAACGTCAGAAGGGCTGATCACGCCGTCACATTAGTAGCTACGACCAGACTGACCCTGTCCTTGCCCCATTAGCACTCACTTGACACCGCATCAGGCCTTTTGCATGGCTGAAGTCAGCACATATTTCGCAGGTGTTCGTTCCAGGGAAAAAGCCTCCTGCCCGCTGTCACCTAATAGCTTCCTGCTGTCCTGCAGACCTGGAGTCTGAAAATGATTCTCTGATACGGTTTAAGCATTCAGCGTGAAAATTCCTCCTCTTACCTGGTATGCTCTTTAGCTCCTACTTATCTTAATAGGAAGGACATAAAATTTTACATGCAAAGTCAACTGCAAACCCATAATGCTTTCTGCTGCCAGCTGCTAGTGGGGGCAACAGCCACCCAGCACTCCTGCAGGTGACACAAATACGCTGCTCAGACACAGTGCTGATGTAAATCAGAGCTGAGCAATGTACGGCCCAAAGCATGATGTAGCTGTCTGGCTGGTAGCTAGTAAATCAGTCTGTGACGTCTGACTAAGCTCGGGGAAGAGGAGGGTGTGCTGCCAGAAGAGCGCACGCCTGATCGTTAGGCAGCCGACGACTGGGAAGCACGTGCGTGCGGACACACACGCGAAGCACATCCTCCCCAGTGAGCTGGCCCTGGGTCCGCAGTCACTGCCTCCCGTTTGCACTGGAGACCAGGTACGTGCTGCAGGCACAGCGGCACCCCGTGACCTCCCTTCCCTGTGCCACCGGCCTCCTCCCTCTTCCCCCAAACCAGGGGCGGTCAGTGGGAGTGACAGCAAGGATGGATATATGGGAAAAGCTGGGACACGTACAGCCTGAAATATGGGAGGCACGATACCGAACAGCAGCAGGGAATGCTCCCAGACTGGTATGAGTGGGAGGAAGAATCAGAGAAGATGATCTGATCAACTGGAACCTCTAATTATCTCTCAGATAGGCAAACTGAGCACCCTTGGCTTAGGTTAACAACAGAACAGAGGCACGAATGGAAAGAACAAGTTTTGTACCACAGTAAGTAATTCAAACAGGTTTTATAGAGGGTATGTATGTGACTAGGTGGATTATTAGAGTACTGGGAGAGGACTTTTTACAAGAGCCTGTAGTGATAGGACAAGGGGTAATGGGTACAAATTGAAATCAGGGAGGTTTAGATTAGATATCAGGAAGAAATTCTTCCCGGAGAGAGTGGGGAGGCACTGGGACAGGTTGCCCAGAGAAGCTGTGGATGCCCCATCCCTGGAAGTGTCCAAGGCCAGGCTGGATGAGGCTTGGAGCAACCTGGTCTAGTGGAAGGTGTCCCTGCCCATGGCAGGGGGGTTGGAACTGGATGGTCTTTAAGGTCCCTTCCAACCCAAACCATTCTATGATTCTGTGATTCTATGATTATAATAAAAAATAATTTTAAAGCAGAGTTCTTGGTCAATTCTGAATAACCCAGCCCAGGCTAGTGAGATTGGTGCACTATTACAAGTGAAGCTAGAGAATTTGAAAAAAAAAGTCCTAAAAAGGAGAAAAAAGCCAAACTCCTCACTTCTTACTACAAGCTGAGTGTCCAAGACCAAGGCACACATTGGGCCAGGGATTGTTGCTGGCCCCTCCTTACGCAGTATTAAATGCTGCATTCACACACACAAAACAACCTTTTAGAAGAAACATCTGACTTGGGAGCCTCCTAGCCAGCTATTAAAATAAACAGCAAGGAGAAAGGGCTACCAATATGTGGCTCAGTTATGGCCCACTTGAATCTGATGGTCCAGCACCAACGTTTCTTTTGAGAGCAGCATTTAAAACCAGTAGCAACCAGTAGCAGTTGTACCACTCACTGACAGACCCAGATGCTTTGCCTCTGGTTGTTAAGACCAAGCATTGCCTTCTGCATAGCAAATATTAATCGTTCATGGGTCCTTGCCTCCACCTTCAATTTGTTCTGTCCTTTCTCAGTGTGGATTGGAAAAGTTCTGGGAAAAAATAGCTTTCTTGCAATAACCCATAGTTTCCATGTAGATCTGCTGATGGCCTATTCTATAGGGATTCCATATGCACGGCAGTGGGATAGCTTGTTCTTCAGGGAAGTAACAGAGAATATTAAAATAACAGACTTTTGAATTAATTAAGATTTACAGAAAAATATTATGGACATGCTTTCATGCGTGATTATCAGTCAATGAGTAAGAAACAGCCTCTAACCTAATTCATCCAACAAACTGAGCCTTAAGAGACTATAGACAGAGGAAAAAGAATTGGCTGGATCTTTGTTTCCTTATAATCTATGACCTAGAAGGAAAATATTTATTCCACAAAATGTCCCCTGGCTGTCCTTTAGAGCAAAATTCAGATTTTTCTAAAGTTCAAAGACCTTAATGACTGGAAACATGTTCAACAGTGAGAGTAACAGGTTTTGTTCCTGTATGTATTGAGTGTAGGTGGCAAGGTTATAGTAGCAGGAGGGGTTGCAGGGGTGGCCTCTGTGAGGAGAAAGCAGGGCTGCCCTGTAACTAATGAGTAACTGCCCCGTAACTGCCCTGCTAACTAATTGGAGTAACCAATGGGAGCAGTGACAAGAAGTTTGGCTGATGAAAACCAGCAGTTTTGTTCAAGGATGAATAACCACCTTGCAAGAGAGAAGATGAAGGTCTGATATGGCCGACCGTGGAGGATATGTGCTCTGCGGGCCTGATAGAGCCTGGAAGCGCACACCACACAGCCCATTGGCTGGCAATATTCTGGGGGGAACAACATTATTTTGGGATAACAGTAAGGCATGTGTCAACGAGTGGCTCAGTCTGAAAGGTTTATTCAGCCTTCGACCAAGAAAAAGCTCCTTGATTTAACCTTCAGTTAAAAGACGCGAGTTCACCGTAACCACCTCAAAGCCCAACCAGATCCTCCACGAGCAGTACAGACCAGGCTGGACATTCCTCACATTCTACCGGGGAAAAAAATCCCTCAATTCTTTGTGCAGAAAAATTATTTGGCCCTTAACTTGTTTATTTTTCAGACACTCGGTCCACAGTGTGACCCACTGCCACATGCTTTTAGTTTTTTTTAATATTAAAAGAGCTTAGTTGTTCCACACATGCATGTTAACTTCTTTTCTCAAACATTTTTACACTTCACTTTTTAATAATATATTCAACTCTTCTCTTCCCATACACTATGGGAGATTGCAGTACACTGCAGTTATTCTAATAGTATTTTACAGTAATCCAATAAATGTGCTTTCCTCTTCACATTTCTGTAATGCCTGTAAAACATGAGTCAATCCGGTTTCAGAGCAACTTCAACACGCTCCCCTCGCACTGAAAACAGAAGCCTTCTAGTGGCTTTGTTTCTGAGCTCTGCTTATGCTCTCTTGGCTGCCTTATGCTCCACACAGAAACCTAAGAAAATCTGGGCAGGGAAAAATTCCCTTCTAATGTCAGTACCTGGGGTACAACCTGCCCTTTAAGCCCAACCATGCTTCCAGCTTCCCATGATAAGTGGTTTAAATGGAAGGAGGAAACGAAGAGGGGAAAGCAGGAACTTCTGGAGAGACAGGCACATGGGCAGTATCTCCACTAGGAAATGATGATGAAAAAAAATCTCCTTTTCCTTTAAAGCAGCATACATTGGACAGGGACTGCAACGATGCCAATGAGCTGCCAATTCTCCCTGAAACAGCTGCCACCAGCTCTTTCCAGGGCAGCAGTGCTATTGTAGCTGTGTTGGTCTGAGGTCACAGGCAGGTCAGGGTTTATAGGTCTGTATTTACAACTTGCTGTTACAAGTGCGCTTGTATAAATCATTTGAACACATGCAAAAAAGTGAGTTAATAACGCTAAAAATAAGTTGTGAGTGATTCCTGAACAGAAAACCAGGCTGAATTCGGATTATTATCTGCTATTAGCCCTGGGCCCTTGTGCTTTGATGCTATTCCTTATTTTCTCCTTCCACCTGTCACATTAGTTCAACACACATTGTCCTCTGCATCACACTTGGGAATGGAGCATTTGAATTTCAGCTCCTATACAAATGGACACACACATTATATGCAGATACAGAGAACAGGATGCCAAAAAAGTGGGTCAAAGCTGCCAACAGTTTTTCACCTACTGATTAAGTACTGAAAGAAAAATCACATTGTAGGATCATCCCAGCCAAATATTTGCGGTTCTTATGTAATTTAGAACAGTTAAGTAGCTATCCTTGAAAAAAACTTCCTCAAGAACACGGAATTTATGGACCAGAAACATGTCTCATATAATTAGTGTAGTGCTGAAATTACATCTACGCTAGCTGAGTATCTGGCTCTTAATAGCATTTCAGTTTGGTATTTAAATCTGTGCAATACTAGGAGTTGTATCTATCCTAGCCTTTATGCATTACACATCTGAACAGAAACCAAGAAGTTTGACTATCCAGGGCCAACTAAGATGACAACACTGTGTAATGTTCTTTTAACTTCAGTGTGGAAAACTGTAAGGATATTTAATAATAATTACATTTAAGAAAAAGTAATTTGTAGCTAGTTGGCGCTAATATTCTCTGTCACTTCTACTGTGTTTAACGTTTGAACTAGAGTATTTCATTTCCTTCTGGAAAAACATTAATAAAGTAACACGTACAGGACAGTATTTCATTTAGTGACACATGCAAAAATCATTACTGCATGTTCCAGCCTCAGCAATTACTGCAATGTATTATTGGAAGAAGCCACATGTTCTCACTTGCTTTGCTAATGGGATTTAAAAAGACACATGGATGATCTGGGATATGGCAGCACTGAGAAGTCTGAATAAAGCGAGATTCTCCACTTAGGAATGATGACATATTCACATAGGAAGAGATCCTTTTGCCACATCAATCCTTTTGTTTCACTCAAGGAAAGAGAGGGATTTTTTTCTGCAGATTATTTTACTGGCTTGTTGGCCCAAGCAACCTCACAGAGAGCAAACATGGACCACAGAAACTCACTAAAGGCATGGCCTATGGCCCAAGAAGCACATGGTTTAAATAAACAGTGCACTAAAACCAGAGGTTGCCTCCATCCTTAACAATTTTTAATAAAGCTTTTACTGTAACACCTTATCTGGGTTTTTCATCAGTTTTCAGCATTCCTATAGAATAAACTTTTCTATCCATGCCAGGAGAAATATTAAAGAAAAGAATTCCGCTTACACTACTCAGGTCCTGCCCATATAGCAGAAACTGCAAGGTAGCGATTTTACCTCTGCGCTATTCCTGCTCTGTCTGGGCTCCCGGGAGGGCTCCTTGCAGCCAAAAGAAGTTCGAGTAGCCAGGGATTTATGAGTTCGCTACCAAAAGCCAGCGCCAAGCCAGAGGCATGGACAGTCTCCATCCCTCCCAGGTCCTTCAGCCCTAACAAGGGAGGGCACAGACATCCTCCAGCTTTTCCCCAGGAAAGGAGAATGGCAACTTTGCTAATACGATGAGAGTGTGGGGTACGATAACTGTGGCACGACCAGGCCCAGTAATTAAGGTTGTTTAACCCCAACATGTAACTCAGTGTCATGTGACTTCCTTGACTCTTCCCCAAAAGTTTAACTGACGTTTCCACTGTACTTCGCCCCTGCTGACTGCAAGGTGATTTATAATTGCACCAGTGAAACGGGCTACGGGAATGAATGCCAGCTAATGAACGCTTGTCCTTCCTATACCCACTGCCTGAGGCTGCAGATTGTTTCTGTAATCCCTTCTTGTAGCAACATATGGGGAAAACCCTCACAACGGACTGCTTTTCTCCTTCCTTAATTACTCATCCCTGTGTTTTGAAGCAGCAGATGTGAAAGAAGGAAAAACTGATAAATTAAGTTTATGTCTACCATAACATGAGCAAAGCACAAACCCACCAGAGAATATGAAAGAGTGCTCAAGCATTTCACACCTGATGAAAACCTATACAGACTTCGTCCTCATCTAAGCTTAACTTTACAACAAGCTTATTAAACTGTCTCTCACAGAGTTTTACCACAATGAAAAGTCTTCCTAAATCTGGTAACCTTGCAATGGAATTTTATGTACAGAGTTGTTTTCAGGTCACTACATACCAAAGGCAGCACAGACATGTTATTATTACTCCTCCACTATAAAATATTACCTCCATGTGCTGGATAACATAAAAATTGTGGAGGTGGTTTCATTTTTTAACATAAACCATCTTTCTATTTTCTAACTAAAAAAAGACCTCAGCAGTGTCCATTATAGGTACCCTGCCCCTTGACATAACTGAACACAGCTCTTTGCCAACACCAGCAACAACCTATTTGAAGATTTCACCTATCAATCATCAATAAATAATTTCATCTATCTAGCTTTCAAAGTATTTGGAGATTTCAGACTGTTTGAAGATTTCATCATTTGAAGATGTTTTTAAACTTGTGAATGAAAGGTTCTGAAAACAAAGGAAAACCAAAAGGCAATCCAAAGCCTCCATGATTTAGGCTTTAATTTCAGTTGTGGGAAACAAAGAAAAGCGCTTTCATCAATCTAGCTACTCTTCTTGCACAAAAAAATCCACTGTACATATTTCCTGTCTAACAGTAGTCATTATATGTTATTTGGCCATGAATTCCAACCATTTAAGAAGCAAGTCTGGGTGACCAAAATGTCACTGTGCTAAAAAAAAAAACAACAACAGATAACAAGACTTTCTTTTGACACAAATTACAATATAGGTGATTACTTCTGGACCAAATTATAAGGATCTTTAAATCCAATTTAAACAACATTTCAGAAAAACAAAAACCCACACATAAAAACGCTCGGTTTAAAAAAAAAAAATAATATATATATATGTACATACTACTCTGCCCCCTGGTGTTACAGCTTGCAAAGTGGAGTCTCTTTGTGGTTGGAGTGCATTTTATTTACCCTCATGTTAATACGGCCCCATGTTTTTTTTAAATGGTACATGATGTTCTTTGGGTTTGTTTCTTATATTGCATTTTCAAAAGAAAAAATGATGTTAAATTGGTCACAGTTACAAGAAGATTCTTCCATATTAGCTAAATTCTGGAATTCCATCTATGCATCATTTTCACTTTAGTGTGATTGCAGTTTTCTTTGACCACAATTTCCTCTGAGAAAACTCACCTCATCATCATCCATCAGATGTTCCTTTGCAAATTCATACATTTCCAACTGGAGTGTGGTTATGTTGTGGTATCGAACTGCCTCCTACCAAAAAACCCAAAATTTCTATGTTACTGTAAGGTAGCAAATCAGGGGAATGTCATCACATGTCACCTTGAAACTATTCCAGTGAAGTCAGACCCAGACTTAGTAGAAGGTAGGTCCCAGGGGGGTTATAATGTTTGAGAAAGGGAACAGCAGAACAGCAAGCAGCATATCCAATGTCTTCTGTGGATCTTTGTAAGCACAGGCTCCATCGGTGTGAGAAGAACAAAGCACTCTCCTCTTTCTCATGTTTCAAAGTGCTGGCGAGTCTGAGAATAAGGAATGAGACTGCCAGAGCTGGGCAGCAGCCTGTGCCTGCATTCCAGCGGGCTTTGGACCGGAGAAAGCCTCTGTCTCCCTGTGCGCTGGCGTACGGCAGCAGGCAGTTCTGGGAAAAGGAGACACTAAGCTATTTCACACGATAATGACTCACCACCCCAGCCTGAGTCTGGGGTAGGGAAACTCTGCAGACTCACCCACCTGTCCCTCCTCATTTCCCCGGCTGTTTGCCTGGACAGCACAGCTCAGCTCAGTCACCTACTCTCACCTTTGCAAATACCAACAGTAATCTACTTTGATTATCCCCTTTAACTCTTTCTGGGGAGGAAAACAGGAGACTTCCTCTTCCACCAGAATATCTCAGTGCCAGAGCCAAATACTGCTGTCGTCCCGTTCCACTTTGTAAAATTAAACCAGAGGCATTATGGTTTTCATGGGAAGTGATTAGGACAGCAAGCGACTTCTGTTCTTAGTTACATGGATCGAAGTACGAGAAAATACACCTGTGTGCATTTAATATTTTATATTTAAAAATGAAATTATCTGTAGTCCCCAGCTCCTGAGATGTTATCAATGAAACGTTCTGATTTAATGTGCAGTGCACTTGTTCTGTCCTCTCTGCACACGTATGCCAAATCTGTTTGCGGTTCAGTTTTATGCTGTTGCTACCCCTCACTCCCACCACCGTCAAGCATTGTCTCCAATGTGGGTACAAAGCACACAGTTCAGTTCCCAAAAGCAGTGACCAAGGAGGGGTCCCTTCCCCCTGTGAGCTCAGACTCGCTGCTGCCTGAAAGAACCAAATGCATTTTTGCCATCTTCTCCCTCAGCTGACCCTCCAGAGCAGGCCTGGGTTTCCAGGGTGCACGTAAGGTGCGTTGCACACATCCCAACAGCTGTCCACAAAAAAAACCCCACCCATTTGACTCAAATGGAGAAGTATTTTTCCCACTTGACTCAAATGGAGCAGTATGAGCTGGCTGGCCTGAGAGGAGGGAAAGTGTAATTATCAAATCAGTGCAACCTACAAGGTGAACTGCTCTGCAGTGTTGCTACAGAAAAAGCCAGTACCACATACGTGGACTGAGCTTAACGCAGCAGTAAGAATCAAGGGATATGCCTTTGGGCCAGTACAAGCCTCGGTGACTGAGGTATCTGAAGAACCAACACAGGGAAGGCAACTGGAACGTTACCCTGTTGCTTCAGCTAGGTTAACTCTTCCAGAAGAGAAGTCATACCCTAAGAAAGAGAGAAGGCACTAGATTTGATTTGCAGAACACATATTGCTAACAACTACCTACTTGTACAGCACATACCACTAATGCCTAAGGTGTCACTCAGGTGTCACAAAGCAGTTAATTCAGTTGGATGACATAAATCCTGGTAACGAGAAATGACAGAAAATCCAATTTGATTGTCCCGAGTCCAGGATGCAGGAGTCCAGAAACACAGCAAAGATGCTTTTATATGCAAAACTTTCTTGGACATGGAAATTGAAGAACTTTCTTGGACATGGAAATTGAAGAAGAGCATAGAAACCCATGTTTAGTGTAATTTGTCAAAGCCAGATCACAACCACCGCTGGATGAACCGGTTTACTGTAGGTGCTTTGCAGCAAGTACTCCAACTGAGATAAATAGATGCAATATGGTACTGAGCCTTTCTCTGTCCTCAACTACCCAACTTTGTTCTAAATGTTCAAAGTGGGAAGTGAATTTAGCTGTTTAGTTTTAGGTTATCATGTCAGGACACATTCCAATGGCCACAGAACCTGAAATGACAAGCAGGTGGGCAACTACATGTGCACAAATGAAAAAAGTGATTGACTTTAAAGCCAGCTGCTTTATTTATTGAGGTGGATAAGGACATAAATATGCCTAAGTGTCAGACAAGTACCAGCACGAATTTACTTGTGATCATATTGTATCCTACTGTAGTGTATTCCAACACATCGGGAAAAACTATAATGCCATTCACTCTCTACATTACACTGTACATCTCTGTGTACAACTTCAGATGTGGTTTTAATAAAACCATATGTGTTCAACTCCAGAATCAATAGATAACACCCATTTTCCCCACCTCTGACCCACTGAGTTTCAGGGAAATATCTGAATGTGTCCAGAAGGCATTTTAAGTAACTCACCGATCTGGGCTGAAAATCCTCTTCTTTAAGTCCCCATTTGTCTTTGTGGTACTGATAATAGACCATGTTCTGTTTCATTACTTCATCTTTCTGGTCAAACAGAAGATAACTAGCAGCGCAAGAAGCTGCATTCTTCATGTCATTCACTAATTAATAAACACACACACAAAAAAGCTAGGTAAGGTAAATGAACAAATTCCTACTCTTAGCTAAGCTCTGAAAAACTCAGATAGAAACAGGATGCATTTTCTACTTCCCCACCAGCTGTATAGGAAAATAAAAATTGCTTCTCAGAAAGGATATGTTATTTTTGTGTTCTGAAACAGGTAAGGCCATGATTTGGGGATTTTCTATGAAAATCCTAACCAAATGTTCCTTCTAGGTATCCCAGTATCAGTGAGGTATCAGCTTGATGATCCCCACTGGGGCATTTATAAAAAACTAACACACAGTCAAGCGATTTAAAATCCCCAACACTTCTTTGTACTAGAACTGACAAAGAGGGAAGAGCCAGTGTGTAAAACGTGTAGTCAAACAACATAAGCAAAAGTCGTTAATGGCTTGATTCTACGTGGCTGGATGTGTCTTCCCTCTGGTGTTGAAGCCTGCAGGAGTAGCTGAAAGGGCTACATGTGCTCTCTACAGTGCAGGTAGTTCCTCAAGAAACCACAAACCTCCCTGAATGATTTACCTATCAAATGTGTAATCACTGAGCACCAGAACACTGTATTTTCTGTTAAGTGGTCCCTCTTTCTTCAAAACCCATTTAGCCCCATGTGCCCCATTCTAACAGCATTATAAGAATCCCCTAGGAAAAAGTGAATGGTATGAAATACTCCCTAGGTTTGTCTGTGGAAGAAATTCCAAACAGTCAATTGAAAAACTGAGTATTCAGTAGAGTAAGTGGCGTTACGTTAAACGTGTTGCCTTGATGTCACAATCTTTCTTCTTTCTAACTGAGTGAGTTACAGGTTTAAAAAACCCCTCCTTGTTAGAGCTATACATTCAGCTGCTTAGCAACCATGTAGGCCTGACATCTTGGCCACCATGGCTTTTTGGCACAAAGAGGTGTACAAAATGGGTCTGTGTCACTGCATGTGTTCCAATGTATCGCAAGTGGCTGACACTGTTTACCCAAACATGTTATATTGTGAATTATTTCAAAATGGTAGAAGAGTTGGTGTATCATTTAAACATCTAAAATACTTGTGATGAACACTTATCATGTAGATAGACATTTATAATTTATATGACACTCTGCAAAGTGTAAGCCACTTGTGCTGGCAGTAGGTGTCCTATAAAGAATGCAGAGCAGTGATGGATCAGATCACACTTACCCTGTGACTGCCTCATTTCCCCAACATCCAAGTGGAGTCCAGTCACAACCACGCATAACTTCAAACAGAGGGGCCTGCCCTGGGCCTCAGCCCTTTTGAGACTTATGTTCACCAATTTATTTAGTCAGGGACAATTTTATGAGCATGGGCTCTATACATAACATTTATCTCCCATGTCTGCTGCTGTGCAGGCAGAAAAAGAGGCCAGGCAGCTCAGACTTTCCATCCCAGAACCGGTTAAAATTCAGATTCTGGAGGCCACTATATACATTCTAAAGCATCATAACTAAAGGGAAAAGAATACGAATGGAAACTGTCCCACATCATCCCAATGTTATTTAAGCACATTAAATCACTACTTACATTTATAATAAGCAAACTGCAAGTAATGGTACATGGTGGCCACAAATTTATCCACAACAAAGCCTCCTATAATGGGTGTCAGATTACTCTCGCACTGCACTTTGCATGCAAGGACTTCAATATAATGATCTAGAAGGAAGAAAACAACAACACGGGATATGGATAGTGCACTGTGAATCGTTACAACCCCCACCATTAGCTAGCCATTAAAATTTGGCCTTATAATGCTCTGCTGGGTCCTGAGGATCTGGATCTTGCTGCTTGGAAGTACTGAGCATGTACAACTCCACCTGAAGTACATACCAAGTACTGGTATTCAGCCCTTCTCTAAAAATCAATGTGGTCTGGACTTGAAATGTATCAAAGGTGTGATTCCAGAGAACTAAGCAGTTAGGTTTCACTGACACCTAGAGGCAGCCTGTGGTGTAAGTTTTATACAGAGTGTTACGGAGTATTGCATTATTTCCTAACTGTGAACTTAACAGTCCTTCATTTTTTTACACTTTGAGAGCCTTTGCAATGTCATTAAATTATTGCATGAATAAGGTCCACAAGCTACCGAGAACAATTGTGTCACAGAAATACATCAGGTGTTTGCAGAATAAACCTCCAGAGATGGCTGCATTTTGTGCTTGCAGCTTGAAGTTCTACAAGAGAAGAAAGACACAAATATGCTGCTCACTACAGAACGACTTTCAGCCAAAAACGGTTTAGTTCACAAGCTTACCCATCTACAAAAGTTTGCTACAATGAGATAGGACTAGAGGTGATCTTCAAGAAAATACATTCTGAGAAAATCTTCCATCAAAGAATTACAAGTGTTTTCAGGATGTGTAACGTTAGACAATGCTACTGAACAGAACTATTTTAAAGCCTTAGTTTCCCTGTTAGCCACATTTGGCAGGTAAAAGCAAGTTATCTAAGCTTGTGCAGCAAGTCTCTGACCAAGGCAAAAGAAACAAAGGCCCCTTTCCCTGTTTTCACATTTGACAGCTTCATCATTCTTCATATTAGGAGTTAACTCAAACGAAATTACCAGACCACTCTTTTACAACAGCAGTGGAGTCTCCAGGCACAGCAGTGTTCAGTTCCAGCCAGCACTTAAAGCCAGAGAGGCCAGTTCCTCAGTGAAGCGATACCATGCAATGAGGACAGCTGGCTTCCAAACATAACTCACTGCTCAGGGATAAATATGTACCTAGTGCAATCACCAAATGCTTCGGGTTAACATTTTTTACATCTGCTTTCTGCAGTAAAAAGCTCGGAGGCAGGATGTATCTCCCTGGAGCACGAGCACAGTTCAGCCCACGCAGCGCAAGTAAACTTGAATTTTCTTATCTCAAAACCAAAACATTCGAAATGCATGCACACGGTCATGATGACATCATGCAATAGCTCCTACCCTTCCTTCTCACCACTACTGTCCTTTCCTTCCAAGGAGGAAGACGAAGGATGGCAGCAAGTGCCAATCACAGCTGAGCATGGACATCGTACTCTTCACAGCAGCTTAGGTGTTATCCTGATGCCGGGGCTCTGACCCACTGGGAAGAAGGCCTGTATTTCTTGCTTTCCTGCCTGTGATTTGACCTTCACTCCTTACCTGACGTCCTAGGCACCTGCCTGCTTTGCCCAAGAGTAAAGCCAGGCTGTAGGAATAGCCTGCAATAGCTATTCCATGCCAGCTGTACTGGTCCATGTCAGCTCCAACTGTGGAGCTGCTCACGTGCTTTACAATTACCTATCACTGTAATTCACACGTTTCCCCCTTGCCAACACGTCTGATGGCTTTAGGACAAAAAGTTGGGCTGTCTTTCCTTCCAGCAGCTTAGAAATTCTGTTGCATTTTTCAGGTTTTTTAAGTTTGTCGAGAAAACATGCAGGTGTCCTCCACGCAAAGACTGTCAACAACACCGAGCCCAGAGCACTGGAGAAATTACTTGTTTCTTTCGCTACCCAAGCGCACAGGAAACGTGTATGTGCCATTCTGACAAGAGTCAAAAAAGGTGGTAGATGTTTTCCTTTGGAAAGCAATGGAATTTTTTTTTTAAGCTACACACTAAAGAAATGTTATCTGCTAGCAAAACTCTTCTGTAGGAAAGATGAAAAATATGCAACACAAACTTGTCCTGTTTATGAGAGAGCAGATACACATCACCAGACGTACAGAAATCACAAAGCAGATTTGGAAGGCAGGCTAACTCCTGAGCCTCAAAGGTGGCCAAACTAACGTTGAAATTACAGTCAAGAGGCCTGTCTGGACAACTATCACTACATGGACGGAGTAGCTGTTGGTACTTACACATCTGTTATTCTGACACACACTTAAACTGCCATGTTTATGTATGAACTCTCTGCTCCGATTTTCTGACAGCCACTCTCTTTTATGTCACTGGGATAAAAATAAACAAAAGTAAACCAGAATTCAAGCAGTTTTCAGTGAATCTAATAAACTCATATTGGCCCAAACTGAGCAGGGGGCAGGCACCATGTGCATTTCACAATGCAAACTGAGGAACAGGACTTTGGTAGCCAGTGCTATGAAGAAACTGAAATGCACTCTTGGGACACCCTTCTGTTTCATCACCACTCACCTGCAATGGAAAGATAAAAGTCTTTAAAATCTTTGATCTCTCGGGAGCCTTCACAGGTTGCTGTGCAGTCATCATAGGCTTTGAAGAAATCAGGAAGCGCCAGTTCCATGTCTGAGATAGATGTTCTCCAGTTTTCACCATTGTACGCTCTCACAGCCCTGATAAAGAGATTCTGAAAAATGGGCAGGACTGAAAATCAGCAGTAACTGCTCTGTGGAAAGCTGCGTGTAAATTCAAATGTATGAATTCTACAAATTCATTCATTTGTAAATGATGTCTCTGCATTTCTGGATTACTGTATAAGCTGTTATCCAATTAATGCAAGGACAAAAATACAGATGACTAATGGATTTTACCAGGTATTTTGAGCATGTAATTCCATTTCAGCTCAACAGAAAAGCCTGCTGGACAGAGGGAACAGAGTGAGTCTGAAGCACAAGTTTTGACAGAGATATTCAGTGGAGTCCTAATGCCAAATACGAGTTATTTTACCCTGTGCTGCTCCAGCACTCGTGCATTTGAACAGCTCTAGGCACCTGCTTAGCTCCAGTAGTGATCTGCATGTAGCATCCTCCAGGTATGCCACTCTCCATGATCTACTCTGAGTCATTTATGGAAGAATGTAAAGCAGGAGAGGTGAGAATTACTGAATGCATCAAGAAGGCAGAACAGAGATGATGGAGCAAGAGGGAAAGGAGAGTAAGTACTGAGAACTCGTAAGCAAATTAAATCCTTCAATCTCACACAGTAAGAGGAGTGCTAGAACAGTTCCAAAAGACCAGACTGCATAAAAAGCATACCTCGTACGGCTTTGTCTCCAAGTCTTTAATATGCTCCTCGGCATCAGGTATACTTTTATAGTAGGCCATATTTCTTTGCATCATTTCATCATCTGGATGCTTCAGGAGAAATGTGTGAGCTGCTGCAATAGCTTTTGGAAGATTATTAGCCTAAACAGCGGTGGGGAGAAGAGAAAGAGGGAAAAAAAAAGTTAATTGGAAAAAAACAGTTCAAGGTTTCCCAGCTTTTGTCAATGAACTTCCCTGCAGTCTTTATGTTCCCAGCCTTAGCAGATACAAAGGTACAGCAAAACTGATAAAATCCTTCTCAGTTTTACTGTTGGTTACATCATTATGAACATTTTTTTTCTTAAATTTTAAAAGTCTATTACTGTTGCAGACAGCACAGGTGATGATTGTAAGTCAAAAAGAAGACTTTTTTTCCCTTCCCCTTCCCATGATGATAAAGCTGACAGGGCACAAGATTGTGTTGGTGCTCCTATGAGGGATTAATCTCACAGAAATTAGGGTGCTAACCTATGGCTACTGGGCAGGAGTCATCACTTCCCATGTTTACATGGTGTTCATTTCACTTATTTGCCTGGCAGCACAGAAGACAATATCACAATAATGCATCTTCCTGATGGTGATAGGAAGTTAGAGCAAACAGCAGAGACTTGCTCAATAATTGTGTCCTAATGTATTATGTGATTTTCTGTACCCATTTTTAAACTAACCGTAAACTCCATTAGAGCTATTTTGTGAACTATATACTCCTCATTTACAAGTGCATGTGCCGAATATGTATGTACTTCTGTGTGCATGCCTTTACTTTTTTACAAACTATATGGTATTTATACATACTTTTATAAACTATACAGTATATATACACATATGGAGGAAGAGTGAGAAAGTAAAAGTCTTAAGTATTTGTGAAATGTTAAACCTTTTCCCTTGTAAGCCAAGATCCATATCAACCTGTTCAGTGTATTCACGTGTAGGCAATATAGAGCTCCACCTCACATCTGAAATAGCTTATGGAAACTATGAGCAAGATTCACAAGCATGTATGCACATGCACTCTTCTGTTTGCACCCATAAAACGTACCCCTTCATTTGAGAAAGAAACGTTAGACACAACTACATCAAGGAAAGACTTCGACCCTAACATGAGCTCTTGCTGCTGCGCCGCTATGTGTCCCAGCGCTGGAACTCTGCCAGCTGCCCTTCCTGGCTGTCCCAAAAATATGCGCTTCCAGTCAGCCCACACAGTGCTAAACACAAAGGGAATTCTCAGCTGCACTTTCGTCAAATGTCTGGTTTCTTTTGTGCTTTCTGCTTTAACCCTGTTTGGTGGTAGGCTGACAAGTCTCTCATTTTTTACTTGGTCCCTAATTCACTCTTGGTTTCAACTTTCACCGTCTAAGAAAAAAAAAAAAGTTTTGTAGAAGCACATTCCTAAGTGAACTCAGTGGCTACGAGAAAGCTCCCTCCAGAGGAGCAAGCAGCAGCGCAGAAACATCCACTCCCAGAATCTAAGACGTGGCAAAATTTCACTGTGGAACCCACCTGAATAAACACACGATCGCTCTAAAAATGACATTAAGTGTTGCCCTCTGCCTTCTTCCTATACTATAAATGCTGTTGGTGAGATGGGGGAAGTGATTCCTTTCTTCGGGAAACCAGCAGCCAGGAAAAAGTCTTTTATACGTAGCAGTTCGTACCACTAGAAGGACCATTCAGAACTCCCCAAGAGAGTGGAAGAGCTCAAAGCGGCACTACAGTTGGATAAGAAAGACAGTATAAACTGACTGTAAAGGCAAAACCACCAAACTGCTCCGCACAAACCTACTGCAAATGTGACTGATAAACAGCTTAAAGGGAGAGGAAGGGATTTCTCCAATTTCCTTCTCACATTCCTACCTGCCAGTTACTTAACTGTATCAGAAACATCCAGCAGGGATGATTTTTGCTGTGATGCACACATCGCAAACTTCATATGTGCCACTGGGATGGGATTAATAGTTAAAGTAAGGAAGGCAAGAAATGGAAACATTTGTGGTGATGTCATTTTGGTATCCATATATGGCTTTGAGAATTCGAGGAGTGCCTGCCCACTCTGTTATTCAAAAGAAATGTCCCCTTTTGCTACCTTCTGTTTGTGTGTGCAGAGGCTTTAATGCATAAAGGTAAGTTCTTCTGTACGGTTCCAAGAATGGCTTTAAATCCACAGAATTACGCTGGTGCCATACTGCGCCTGTGGATACTGTTCTTGTTTTATAAGAACACTTCTCCTTGCTTCTGTTTGTGTAATTTGGGAAAACCATTAAATATTTTCAAGAGAAAATAGCAATCCTACAAATAAGACACAGCAACAGTTAAGATGTGTGTTTTCAGGCATCAATCTCAGGAAGAATGCAAAAGCATACCACCCTATACAATGCATACTGGGATACGCTGGGAGCGAACTCCTAACACAGAAAACAATCTAACCAAAGAGTTCAGCTTGTTTTGTCCCCCCACAGACGTCCCATTGATTTGAAATGCAATTTGTAATTACAGTGTCTGAGGGGATGGCATGAGGGATGGACCTTGATTAAGAGAACAGAAGATGAAGATGAGAAGGAGGGAGAAAACTGTCAACCAGATCCTGGAGAGAAGGATGAGAAGAAGCTAAAGAAACAGGATGAAGTCTGTGAAGAGGTGTGTGTCCCCCCCAGGCTGACTCAAGAGCAAGAAGTAAATACCATTCCAAGGCCAGTATCAGTGTCAAACTTCAGCAGCCAATTTTTGCGTTACTCCTTCCCACGGCTGGAACAAAAGTGGAGTTTTGCAGGCACCAGCCTATCGGCGAGTCACAGGCTGCTGCGCTCTAAAGAACCGGAGCAGAAGAGAGCAAGTTGAGGAAGACGGACACGCTGAGGGAGAGGAAGCAGTGACGAGCGCTTGCCGGTGACATGAAGGATCTGAAAAAGGTTTCAGAAAAGGCTAGAAGAAAGTAAGGCGGGTGGAAAGATGAGAGCGACAGGGATAGGGAGGGCACAACTACAGGACAAAGAGGCAGGGTCCAGTGGCTAGGAGTTTGGGAATTACTGGAGGAGCTAACGGAGGGGACGTGCTGGATAATTTGCGTGGAAAAACGGGTGAAGAGCGAGGTGGACGGATGTACGTGGGGGAGCAGGGGGAAAGAGAAGGCAGCCGGTTGTCCCACGGTGGGCTCCCAGGGTGGGTGGGAGGAAGGGTGTGAAAGGCTTTCCATGGAGAAGCAGCTGCTGTGCAGGGTGGGCAGCCTGGGAGGGCAGGCCTGAGCAGGGAGGGTGGGAAATGGAGGTGGGCAGACGTCAACTGGCCCCTGAAGTAGTGGAGGAGGCAATGGGGAGCGAGGCTACGGCCCATTCTGCTCCAGGTCGGCAGGACAGGAGGCTTTTCCAGCCCTGGGCACACGAGGCACCCACTGAGGCACCCACAGGCACCACGACTGGGCCGGGC